GTTGACCAGGATGGTCTCGATCTCTCGACCTCGTGATCCACCCGCCTCGGCCTCCCAAAGTGCTGGGATTACAGGCTTGAGCCACCGCACCCGGCTATATGTAAGAGTTTTTAAACCTAAACAAATGACTGTCTCAAACACGCAGAACCAGAAACATCATTTACATTTACCAATTTTCCAAAGTCATCATAAACATATCTACCGTAGATTGAAGGTATTCATACATAATAGAACCTTCTTTTTTTTGTTTTTGTTTTTGTTTTAAAGACAGGGTTTCACCATGTTGGTCAGGTTGGTCTTGAACTCCTGACCTCAGGTGATCCACCCGCCTTGGCCTCCAAAGTGCTTGGATTACAGGCGTGAGCCACCACGCCTGGCCTATAATAGAACCTTCTTAAGGGAGAGAGATTACAGTAGGCTACAGGTAAGATGTAACACACTTCCCAATCTTTAATGTACTGTTGTTAAAATCTTACTGTACCTACCAGCATCACCTCCATCTTGACTAGTGCCAGCTTCGGTCAATAAATTTGCACTCACATTCCTATCAACATCTGGCCCCGAGAGTAGAGCACCATCTAAATCTGAAAAGGAGACAGAAAAATTTATCTACAAACCACACCATAGCCACCACCCAAAACACCACTCTTTCTTGGAATATATATATTTTTTTTAATTGAGACGAAGTTTCACCATATTGGCCAGGGTAGGTTTGTCTCGAACTCCTGACCTTGTGATCCACCTACCTTGCCTCCCAAAGTGCTGGGATTACAGGCGTGATCCACCATGCCTGGCCTTGGAAGTGTTTCTTTAATAAAAAGTACCATCTGTAAGTACTAAATTACCTACTGTGTTCAATACAACAAGGCTCACAGAAGCCTAAGACATGTACAGTAAGTATAGTGTACTGGTTAGGAATGGGCTGTAGAACCAGGGTGAATTAGGTGCCACTCCTATTTCTGTTACAGGCTATATGACCATGTGCCTTAGTTTCTCCCTAATTTACATCCACCGATATCATAGATGTAATCTAGGAATCTAATTGGATAATATAAAAAGCCAAGTGTAACAATTATGGTACTTCACACTCAAAACACTACTAGTACCAGTAACTAGTAAGTATTAGAGGTATAAAACACATTGTTGGTATATCTGTATTGGTTCAAGTGGAGAAGACCAATTAAAGCTAGAATTGCTAGGCTGGAAGTGGTCGCTCACACCTATAATTCCGGCACTTTGGGAAGCTGAGGTAGGCAGGTCACTTGAGGCCAGAAGTTCCAGATCAGCCTGGCTGACATGAAAAAACCACATCTCTGAAAAAACACAAAACTCAGCCAGGTGTGGTGATACACACCTGTAGTCTCAGCTACTTGGAAGGCTTAGATGGGAGGATTCACCTGAGCCTGGGAGGCAGCTGCTACAGGGAGCTGAAATCCACACCACTGCACTCCAGCCTGGGGCAACAGAATGAGACCGAGTCTCAAAAAAACAAGTTTGAATGTCAGAATACAGGTGGCAAATAAAACCATGGGGATGAACGGATGTGACAGTGAGAAAAGACTAAGTATACTGAAGAATCCTAGCATTTAATGAGCTACAAAAAAACACAGAAAAAACTTTTAAGGGAAAAGTAGTCCCCTTTGTCAATGCTTCCAAGTCTACTTTGTCAATTCAAGAATCTTACTGAACAATGCTAGTGAGGAGGTAGGGCAAGCAGGAACAGTAAGAGTGGTCGATGTTGTGAAGAGATGATCAATTAAGAAAAGAATCTTTGAGAAATCTAGCAAAAAAAAAAGTAGTATGAGAAATAGGGTAACCATTTTTTTTAAGAAAGTGAAAGTTCCTTATTTTTGAGGCAGGGTCTCCCTCTGTCACCCAGGCTGGAGTCCAGTGGCACAATCTCAGCTCACTGCAACCTCTGCCTCCCAAGTTCAACCAATCCTCCCACATCGGCCTCCCAAACTGCTGATACTATAGGTGCACACCACCACACCTTGCTAAAAATTTTTTTTTTTTTTTTTTTTTTGTAGAGACAGGGTCTCACCATGTTGCCCATGCTGATCTTGAATGCCTGAGCTCAAACAATCCTCCTGCCTTGGGTTCCCAAAGTGCTGGGATTACAGGCATGAACCCCAACACCCGGCCAAAAGTTACGTATTTAAATACTGACAGGAAGGAATCACCGAAGGGAGAAGTTAAAGACACTGAAGATATATATTGCAGTGAAGAGAAGAAATTATCCCTTGTGTATGATTCCTAAGGTTTCTTGAGTTCCGGGAGCACAAGTCTGGGTACTTAAGAGAGACAGCGGAAACCATCAGTGTAGAGTGCTAAAGTCAGAACTTAAGGATATTATACCAGGCTGTTGGCTTCTCTTTTCTATATAAAGTGAAATTAGTAGAATGTGGCATTATTGCTTACAGTAAATTGGTTGCAAGTCAGAAGAATGAGCAAGTATTTAATGCAGAAAGAACAGTAAATAAAGAACTCCTTTGCACAATCCTTGAGAACAGGATACTGCTTAGGTTTATTTTCACAGTGTTTATCACAATGAATGATAAATAGAAGGCTTTTAAAAATAGTTTACCAGCCATGATGGCTCAAGCCTGTAATCCCAGCACTTTGGGAGATATATATATTATAGTTACATGTTTACTTGAATAGTCTGTATTTTTAAACTTGTATCACTAAACAAAGTTTAGTTTTAATGGTATCTGAATAATAATTTGGTTTTTTGGTCTACAATTAAACTAAAACCTATCAGGAACTGAAAATATCAACTAAAAATTTAATGTTTTCTTAAAGTTAAATGTATTTCAATAGTCAAAAAATAAAACTGGCTGGACATGCATTAGTCCTAGCTACTGAGCTGGCTAGGACGAGAGAATGGTTGGAGACCAACAGTCCAAGGCTGCAGTGAGCTACAGCTGCACCACCACACTCCAGCCTGGGCAAGAGTGAGACCCTCTCTCAACAAAATTGAAATAAAAAGTAAGGTTGGGTACAGTGGCTCATGCCTGT